CACTCACGTTCAGTGATTCAGTTGTGAAGAGGGCGTTGCAATCACTAGGTCAGAAACAATAGTCCTTAGTCTTGGAAGCAGGGAATTTCTGTGTGAAAAGTTGGGAGTGTATAACTTTAGCCAAAGCTGGGGTGTAAGACCACAGCAAGGCTCAACTAAATACATTGCTGTATTTACTAGTATGTACTGTCCTAATGCATCGCTGTCTTCTGTATCGTATGGCACTGGTATGGTAGAAGTCCTCCTGTGAACGTTGAGGCTTCCATCCTTGTGGCGCTTGGTATAGGAGAAGCGCTCATGCGAATAAGGAGGGCAGTGTCCATATGGTGCTTGATATGGTAGAAGCGCATCATGAGTCAGAAGACTAGCATCCATGTGGTGCTATCTTCAGAGGAGTGTATGTGGTGTGCTATCCATCCCGGGGTGTGACTTGTGTCAACCCATGAAGCATGAGGGAATATCAAGGGTAGGGCCCATAGAAGTATGATCAGACTTATGGGCCATCAAATGGATCATGCATGTGAGCGATGTGATCATGTGTGCGAAGTGTGAGTCAAAGCGTGTGGGCAGTGTGACCAAGCAGGTCATGAATGATGCGGATCAGGTATGAGGAATGATGATGAGGGTCGAATGATGAGTTGCCGTGATGCTGAGATAAGATAAGATAAAGCAAAAAATAGGGGCAAATTCATGACAATAGGAGCTTGTGACCTTCCTCATGCAAATAAACCAGACCATTCTCCACCGAGAAATTCTTGAAGTGTGAAGGGGTGGCTGATATCTTGGACAGTAGTGTATCACCAGGTGTGTTGTCTCGCATGATTGGTAGCAAGTCAATGCCTAGTAAACGTGAGGAAACGAGGCCGGTGAGGGATGACAGCAAGGAACTTGCTAAGGTCGTGTCAGGGCCCAGCACAGCCCCAGCTGCTGGTAACTCTGAATCCAGTATAGCCAGGTTTTGGATCAGGCCTCATTGCTCAAGTGGCTGTGCAGCCACATTTCCACCAATGTTCAATGTCGATGGTCCTGTGTCAGGCTCGCCCTCCGCTTCAATGCTGCCATCATCGGATGAGGATGACCCCACATCATCACCACTGTTACTGGGTGCCGCAGCCCAATCCCCAGGACCCTCTGAAGGCCTTGGGCCATGCAACACAAATTTCTTGCCTGCCATATGCTTTGCAAATGCCATGGATGACTTGTTGGCATGGATCTTCGGTTTCAACATCCATTTTGGCTTCGCACCAGAGCCCATACATGTCAACATCATAGCATTCACCTCAAGTCCCATCAACACAGGCGTAGAAATGTCGAGGTCACTGGGATTGGTAGGTGAATGATCCTCATTGTGTTGAGGGAATTCAGAGGGTGCGCAGACAGTCCCTAGAGACTCGTTGGAGTACAGATGAGATAGGGCATCTGTGAGTATGTTCTCAGTTCCGGGAACGTATACTACCTCAAAGTCAAAGTCCGATATCAACTCCATCCACCGAGCTTGTTGTCCAGACAAGTTTCACTGATTCAAGAGGTGAATGAGTCCTTTGTGATTGGTGTACCACTTGAAGTGACATCCCAGCAGGATGTCTCAATGTTGCCTCATTGTCTCAACTCCTGTGAACATTTCCTGTTCATGCACTGGGTAGTTCTGTTGTGCGGAATTCAACTTGGCAGAGAAAAATGCAGCCACCTTCGCTCTTTTCCAGTCTTCACCCTGGCTTACAACACCAGCGATTCTGGTACTGCTCGCATCAGTAACCACATTAATGGTGGGTGCCTCTCTTGAATAATCAAGAGGAACACGATGATTCTCTCGCCATCGATGTACGTATTCTTTGACTTGTTCGAAGGCTTGCTGATGTGTCTCAGTCCAATTCCAGGGTACAGTAGCTCCAGTTAGGGTGTGCAACACCCCCATGGGAACACGTATGCGGTCAATATTGTCTGCAAGGTATCCGACCGAGCTGAGAAACCCACTGAGAAGCTCACGGTTCGTCGGTACCTTCCAATTCAAGACGGTATCAACTTTTGAAGGATCCATCTTGATTCCTTTGTCATCAACAATATGTCCCAAGATATGCAATTCTTGTGCTAGGATTTGGCACTTTTTCTCACTGAGGTAAAGCCATTGCTCTTCCAGGATGTCGAATATAAGCTCACAGTGTTTTGCATGCTCTTCAATAGTATCTGAATACACAATAATATCATCAAGATAAACATCCATGAACATGCCGATGTATGGAGAAAATAAATGATTTGTCAAGGCCTGGCAAGTAGCGGGTGCATTGCAGTCACCCTGCTGCATCACAAGGCTTATCATGTTTCTGTCAGGTGTAGTTATGGCCATACGGTCAAGGTGCTCCGTGATTATGCGAATCTGTTCATACACTGCCTGCAAATTGAACAGGGACTGATAGTGTCTCCCTGCTACTCGACAGAGAATACCATCAATAGAGGCTAACAGCACCACCATTTTATGGGTGTTCACATTTCACTCATGCAAATCAAACACGGTGCGTAATTCCAGCATATTTTTTGGTTTATTGGGTTTAAATATGCATAACATTGGTACAGTGTTTCATGCTGTAGTCACCTTCCAGTGGCCAGTAGCTAGGTAATCCTTTTTCTTCTCAATCCATTGCCTGAGCAAGGGCTCAGGGCATTTGGATGGTCACCAGTGGTATGTCTTACTTTCATCAATCAAAGGAATTTCATGATTGATGGGCCTAAAAGGAGGTAATGGAGCCTTAGCTGCATCATTAAACAACCCACGAGCTTGTGCAGATTCGAGAATGATGTTTCAAACATCCACAACTGCCTCTTCTGCCAGTTTGACTGAATGGGAGGCTAGTTCACTGACATTAGATCCTTCAATGGGTAAGCTCTCCTCGCTTCCAATATGGACTATGTTCTCATTCATCCCCATAGTGACTTTGTGCTGAAATAGGAACGGTGTCCCAAGTATTACATCATAATTTCCAAGATTTGCAATATCAAAGTATCTTTGTTCATCAATGCCTTGATATTGGAATCTCGGCTTGGTTCCATAATTGATTTTTGAACGTGAGCCTTGTACTGCAAGATGTAATGAAATGGGCTTTTCAAGCTCAATTTTCTTCAAATTTAATTGGTCTGCCAAGGTAGTCGACATGAAATCAGACAGTGAACCTGAATCGATGAGGGCCCAAGCTTTATTCCCTTCAATGAAGACATCTACTACCATTGGCTTTGGGACTAGCTGAGTAAAGTCATGAGGAATACCCGCATTACGTTGAATGGCAGTAAGTTTGTCCCGTTTGTGACTCACATGTCCAAGGTACAGGCTGTCTAGTCTCCTGCAGGGTTTATGTGTTACAGAATCTCCTACATACCCGCCCTCCAAGCCAGCGAGACCAACTTTCCAACCAGACCAGCAGCAGGTATGCAGTTGTTTCTTCTCCCAGCGTTGAACCCGGGCTAGCCACCAGTTGTAGAGCTGGAACTTCGGATGAAGAGCTGTTGCACAGGATAGATGGAATTCATGCCCCAGAGCACGATTGCATACTTGTAATACATTGGGACTTCTGTAAGACATGCTGAACCTTCTAGCCACATCATGGAATTCACCATTGAATCCCTCATTAAGGTATTCTTCAACAAACATGGCCATTAAGTCCTTAGGCAATGGTGTAGGCAACTCAACAGAGGGGATTTCATAAGTGTGAATTAGGTAGGACCTGTACCAGGATACCATGTCGCCATACTGAACGATGTCCACAGGCACAAGTACTTCATCCTGTCCATCATGGCAAGCATCAAACAAGATGAAATTCATGCCTTTCATATGGTACATGGTGAACCATGTTTTAATCCCACCCTCTGTGCCCTTGGAACCTTCGATCGCAAGTGAGTCTGGCCAATTGGTCATGGAATTCATGCGCCAGGCCCACCATTCTTGGAGCATATCACCCATAGGTTGTTTGAGCCACAACTCAGCCTCAGCAGGTGACCAAGCACATGCATGCAGTGTGGGCAAATCATCATCAATGAGTTTGAGTCTGATATTATTTAGTTGAAAGCTCATCGAGCTTTCTGCCACCTTTGATAAACGATCAGCCTCCCTCAACTTTAACTGAATGTTCGCTGAAGACATTGTGGGTGGTTTCCGATGGCCAGGAGGACCCGAACGTGAACCGGAGGCAACTGAGCTACCCTCAGGGCACTGTCAAGAGGTGTGTCCAACCTTTCCACAGCGGAAACACCTTCCTTCAGTGAGGTACTCATTACGTTGCTTTTTATCCAACTTGTGCGCATGCCAGGGGGCCTTCTTATCCATTACAGGCTTCTCCCAATTACAAGCTGGGCCCTTATGTGGAATGCCAGATAATTCACAAAGTTCGTCGTTGAAGCTCGGACAAGCTGGTTTTGGAGAGTGATCTTGCTTGGAGCATGGTATGTCATTCCATTTATTTCGTTCAGTTGTCTCATTCGTGCGATGATTCTTAGCATGGCGGTTATGCTCATAATCTCCATGAGATTTTCCTTCATTACTATGCTGAGTGATGTCAAGGATTTTGGCCATATCAACAATCTCATGCCAAGTATTGATTTCCTCATTATAGAAATGACAACTCAGCTCCTCCCAGAGATCATGCCATAACCCATACCACAAGCGGAGCACTTGAGTATGTTCTGACTCATCCCCAACCATATGGTAATGGCCTTTCAGCTCATGAGCATATGCATGCACATCACGAGAACCTTGGAAACACTGTCTGATCCTTCGACGAACCTTAGCCCAAAAATCCTGAGGGAAGCAATAATTAAACATCTCCCAGAAGAAGGTAGTTAAGTCCCATTCATTGTAATTCATACTGACACTTTGATCATAGAAATCATGGGCCTTCCCTTCCAGGAAACGAGAGATGTGAAATACTTTATCCTCATCTTTAACTCTTCCCATCTTCAGGTATTGTTCACATTCTTGAATGAAGCATGCCACTAATTTCAGGTCATCGCTACCATTATACGTACATGGGGGGATTGGTTTCTCCCATGGAGTATGGTCTCAAGAGTGAGAACGTGAATGACAGTGTCAATTTCTTCTTCTTGTGATGCTTCCTCTTATGACACTCATTCCCAGAGCCTGACTCATCATCCGAGGAAGATGATGAAGAAGACGATGAATCGGAGTCACCAGGTTCATCAGCAGGTGTGTTAATTGGTTCTGCACTGCTAATGGACTTTTTCAAAGCTCTCCCCAAGAAACTATTCGGAGCAACCTGATCCGCAGCAAATGCAGGCCCACTCCAAACGTTGGGTGTATCTCTATGTTTGTGGCCTTGCATGGCATTTTGCGATACATTGATCATGTGGTGCATATCTATGTGAGGATTACCCATCATGTCGGTACCTGCTATTGGGGACCGACCTCACAAACCACCAGGACTACTAGCTTTTAGTCCCAAAGGGCTCGATGACTTGGAATCTCCCTTCCGGTTGCCCAAAGTTGCATCAAACATCTCTTCAGTCTTGATCTCCTCTGCAATCCTGACCTTCTTTACAGGCTTCAGAATCAGGGGTGCTTGTAATTGGCAGGGGTAAAGTGCACAGCCTCTCCAGAAACCTCACCCTTTGTCATGGGGGCTGAGGTGCTGGCCATCTCAGGTTTCATCTTGGATGAAGTACCAGCTTTACTAACAAGTGTGTTAGTGGGATGCTTAAATGCCTTCCAAGTCCTAACAACATCTTCATAGATAGCTTTTTGTACTTCAGGGATCCTCATCTTTCAAAAAATCAAAGTTCTCCCAAGCACATTGTTGATTCTCAGGGTCCAATTCTTCATTGTCAATACCTGGAATCCCAGTGTCCCGAAAATCATGAACCTTTCCTTTGTTGACAAAAGGCCTTTCTACAGGTACTTCATTTCCCATCTCATGTTCAGTATCTGACTCAGGGTTCTGTGTATTTTCAGCTTGAATCACTCCAGCCTGGGCTTCGAGTCAAGCTGCCTCTGCAGCAGCCTCTTGTTCCCTTCTAACTTGATTTGGGATATTAAGGAACTGCTTTTCGAAATGCTTCTGCCATACGTCATGTACATACTTTACAGTATTCTCAATAGCAACCCTATTCTCATCACCATCAGAATCAGATAAAATTTCATATCTATTTTTCATGCTAGCAGTAAACCCGGTGATATGCCTGGTATCAGGCTACCCATAGATTTTGTGATTTTACATCAGTTTATGCAATCTACAAGTGGTACAGAGAGCTACAGTGGAGGCTTCATGCTGGTAGCTAAATACTACATAAAGAATGAGAGCACGGCAGTACAGAACAGACTTAGAAACGACATCTCAAAGAGTCAATTCTACTAGCTGTCAACACACCAAGCTAAGCCCTACCTAAACAAGACTATTACAGTCAAATCTCGGGGACTTGTCTGTATGAAGTATAAAAACCAAGAAGTTGAAGAATGGAATGAACTAGATGCCTTGTCACCTCGATGAGTAGAAAGAACCTGTCAAGAAAAATTGCTAAGTCAAGAAACAGATCAGCTTTCGAGATCAACTCAGGCTAGGAAAGGAATAACCTTGGAAGAATGAATAGCCACATTGGGTACCGAGATAACCGACCTTGATCATGCAGTGATCAACAGAATATAATCTCGGACCTGCAGCTGATCACGATCGGTGGTTACATCCTCGAGATCCTGTGCAGACTGCAGTATTCAATACATATGGCATGCAGCAAGCCTTGCAGATGGAAGAAGGAGCACCCACAGACCAGTAGGGCACTCCTTGGTGACAGAATAAACTGGCGCAGTCGTGTCGAACTGAATAGAAACTATGGAATGGCGCAATACTTGTAGGATAGTGACTCACTGTTTGTATTAATTCCAAAGCTTGTACCATAATTACTGTAGATATTGGCTCCTATACCTAGAACATGAATCGTATAAATTAGCAGCAACTAGATGCATAACGGCAGGAAAGCATTCCCCCACGTTTGTGCTAGTAGCCTGTATAGCTACCTAATCAATCACTGGTTTTATTGCATATCCTTGACTGAAGTGAATTAAGTTACCAAAGTCAACCCATAAGGGCAACTACAGTAATCTAGAAGAGTTAAGTAGGAAGTAGAGCCATCCCCATGTTTGTGCCTTGCTAGTTAATTGAACTGCTCCACGGACAAAGGCCTCGTGCTCTCTCTCTCTGAGATTAGTGATCTAGACATGCTGAGTCGACTTTAAGTCAAAAGACCTCATCTAGTTGAAGTAAAATAAGCCCCAGAATGCTTTAAGTTCGAATAATCGTCGAGTTCAAGGAACTCCAGAGTCTGTGTACTCTTTGCAAGTCTTGTACTTGAAGTCAGAACCTGTGCGTTCTTTGTAGAGTGATTTTGCACTCTTTGTAGACCTCGGAGTCTTTGGTTGTTTGATTATTTGAAGTGTCCACTAGAAGCTCTTCTAGACGACGTCAAAATGAGTATAACTTGCTCAACTATACCTTGCAAAACAAGTTCATAAAATCCCACTATCGTGGACTAGTGTACTTTGTGTAAAACACATCAAAAGAAGAATTGAAGTTGTTTTCGGACAAAACCCCACTAGATTATCTAAATCTAAGTACATCGTGAGTGCTTCTATCGTACTCACCCTCGAACTTATATACATTGGTGATAATGTGTGTGTGAGTGATTTAGTATCTAGATTGATGATCTAGATGCTTGTTTCATTTGTGTGCTGCCCATTACCGAGCACATCACCAGTAATTTTCGAACCAGGGTCTGGGGAAGGGGTACATCTACCCTTCTTCTTCCCCACAGTCTCCCATCCCATAACTTTGCTAGGGTGGAGAACAACAGAATCATCATCGAGATCCAGCAGATCTACATCCAACACAGTTTGGAAACCTGTGTAACTCAGCTCATTCGCAGCAACACGACTGCCAAACTGGCTAGGAAGGTCCTTGGACACGATGGACTCCTCCTTCACAGGCCAAGAAGATAATCCCTTCTCGTTGATAGAGACAGGGCTTGAGCTTCTCACGCTGATGTCAGGCACGAGGCTTGCAATGCTAGTAAGGGGGCTTTCCATGTCCCCCAAAAGGTCAGCATTATTTTTAGATTGAATAGATGGCAACTCAGCAGGAACAGCAGGTGCCTTTTTATTGCCCTAAAGTGGGAGCCCCTGAGCAAATGGAGCAACCCCTTTCGAATGGGTAAATGGTGCCATAGATGCACAAGCAAGAAGAAAAAATTGAAGCGAGTTTAGAGAGGTAGAAGAAGCAAGAGGTTCAGAATTTTGGAGTGGTGAGGCAAAGTTGTGTGGAGATCCGGGTGATCAAGCCAGAGGGTTTCAATCGATGAGGCCTTGCTGGTAAGGCTTTTTTGTTTTTCGAAGTCGAGGTTTGTTGAATTCAAGGTTCTTGTAGGTCAAAAATATGTGACAGTACTGTGATGGGAAGTCGGCAGTAATGGCACATGAGAGTTAGATGAAGCAGAGAGTAGTCGAATGGAGGAAAGACCAGGTGAAAAGAACCTCTATTTGAGTAGTTCTAAGGAGTACGTAGGAGTATTTTAGGTCTTATATACGAGTAGGATAGGGTCTAATCTATAAAGAGAACATGGCTAAAGTAAAAGGAAAGGTGGGATAAGTAATAGAGATGTGGGATCACTGCAGTAAAGTAAAAGAGTAGAATAGTAAGTAGGTAATGGTAAAGATAAGATAGGGATAAAGAGAATGAGAGTACTGGCACAACATGCTGGCACGAATCTCCTACACAACATCTGCTCCTGCTGCACCCAAAAAACACTACCTAAAAACCAGATCTGCTCTATTCTCGGGTGTATTTACTGATGGGATCTCAGAATTAGTATATCGAATATGTAGGTGGCTTTCTGGACCGTATCCCAGACATCGATAGAGTCTGTGTGATGTGTATTTGTCATTAGCATCATTGAGCAATGTTCGCTCTTCTTGTGCAGGTTTGATATCAGACAGGCTAATCACACATGGTTGGAAACTAACCCAGATGTGAATTTCAGGTCGGCATTGGAAGGACGCGTCTTCACCTCTCGCTGCCATCTTCCTTGACTGTTTCTATTATCATAACTCAGAATAAAACAGACTAGAGCACACCTCACCAGTTCTCGAGGATGTACTTCTGCTGCAGCTTCCGTCTTGCAGAAAGAATCTATTGATCTCACTTGTCCTGATCTCGATGGATTGTTCTTCCCAACACATCAGTTCACAGGTCACTGCTATGCGTTACTGAACACTTGGTCATAATTTTACAGTAGGTTGAGAGAAAGAGAAACAACATTGAGACTATTGAGACCTCTTCTAGGTGTAAACAACGGCCTAGCTCTACTCTCCATCGTGCCTCTCTATCATTGGACTGACACAAAGCAACCCATTATCATATTTTCAGCAAAGAAATATTTGATCAGTGAGTTGTGCATCGCGAAACATCCCAAGCATCCAATGTGGTTAACTGTCTGCAATTTTGATCACTGACACTTTTTCGAACTTCCCATCCCATTGTTTCCGGTGACATGCATGCAACGCGTTCACACATGTAATTTTGCGAATTCTAGGAATGCAAACATGTGTGTGCCCCGTGAATAATATTAGAGTGCATGTAAGGCATAGAGCGCTACACACTGAGGCAGAAAGCACTATAATAAAAATAATATGAGTAGAGCACATGGCTTAGACTTAGAACGGCACACTTGTGTCATTTAAGTGTGCAGTCTCAGTGCTTATACACACACACTGTGCCCTCCTCTGCAGTGTATCACTCAATTAAATTCACTGAAGATAATATATTGAAGGTGCTTCGCGCTACATTGATCTATGATGCGTGAACCCTGCCAATCCGGCAATCACCGAGAAATGTCATCCTGAACGAAGAATCAACAAGTCCGAATACTCTAAGGAGTTCTCAGCCGGAGAGAAATAAAACCTGCTGCCCATATGAAATATTAAACTAGAAATGGTTGCGCGGCAACCAATAAAATAAAACTCACTCACTAGATAAGTTGCGTGGCACTGTAATTAAATCCGCGGAGCCAATAAGAAGACACATGGCACATGGCACAATGAGGCTAGGCCTTGTCAAGTGGAGAAAGCAGCGGTAGCACGTGCGCCGACACGGAGTGCTGAGTAAAATAATGATTACTATCACTACGGCTGATGCGGCATGCAAGAGAAGGGAGTCCAAGGTGGAGCGTTGTCTATTTTCAGTATTTACATTTCATATAGTTAACGGTAAATATAAGAGCGGTAGTTACAGGTAGTTAGCAAGTTTTCAGACCCCCGCAGTTGTACTACGAAGCAGCGCGCTTAGTGTACGACGAAAGGATTTTATTTGAAGCTTCGAGCGAGAGAGTATTATTGAACTTAGAATTATTTTGAACACTTTGAGAGCTTGCGAGGCATGCCTTGCTCGAGCGCGCTTGATTTGTTCAAGTAAAGTACAGTAATTGATTGCACTCTACTTAGAGAATATTGTATTGTGATAACTTGAATGTGCATTTGTGTTTTTGGAACTTGTTTGTGAATTCCAAGTTATTGCAAGTGGCAGAGGTTCGAACCCTTTGGCTTGTCAGTAATCTCTGAGGTTTTTTTGGTTTATTCCCAAGTGGCATAGGTTCAAACCCTGTGGCTTGTGGACGTGTTTTCTGTGTTTGTGTATCTCTGGATCGCATAGGTTAGAACCCTGTGGATCTATGAACGGGTTTTGAAGTGTTTTCTGCTTGGAGCGCAAGGCTTTAAGTCGTGTTAAGTGTATTGTGAAACGTTGTGGACACTTGTGTGTTGCGCGCGACATATTTTGAGGGTTATACGTTCTTGTAGAACATTTGGGGGCTTGCAAAATAATACTTTTGCCTTGAGGCCAAGCGATTCTGTCGCTCACCTCCTGTTCCAAAAGCATTTGGACTTAGAAGATTATTATATTGCTAAGCGTGCTATATTATATTGTAATGTGCAAGGATTCTTTCAATACTACTGCTATTGTGTGCTTGTATCGCACATCACCCCCGAACTACTGAGGGTTTGTGTGTGTGTGAGTGTGAGTGTGGGTGTGTTAGTGTTATATACGCTAGTGCATTTCTAGCTTGGCACGCACAGAGCCTCTTCACCGGCCTACCACCCAATGTGATAAGGTTTGAGAGAAAGAATAACTGTCACCAAAGAAGGTATACCAGCCATCAGGTATCGGATATGCATGATAAGCAGAGGTCCTAAATATATGGGGTGCTCCAGTATGATCTTCAACCACCAACTTGCCACGTCGAGATATCTTTTTGTTTGATACCTGGCCCAGTCCCCACAAATAACCTGACTTGATACAGGGTCCCTCATACCAGTCAGAACCTGTCTTCCCAGTGTGAAGTTTCCCTGTCACTGAAACAATCTTAGTATCTGACATAATCTCCATTGCCATTAACTGGTCCCATGATGGTTGCCAGTGTCTGCATCCATCCCCAGGCTCAGGGTATAAGAAGAGCAACTCCATGCAATACTTTTTTGACATCACCTCTGTAAGTGCTATCCAGGCATCCTCTTCAGATTGTGACTCATCATATATCGGGATAGATCTCTTGGAGAGAAAGTATGCCAAACCTGCTACTTTATCGAGAGGCTTCGTTGACACACGATTCCGCATCTCCCACAGTATCTTGAACAAACTACCCTGCCTCACATACCTCAATGATTGTAGGTGTTTGTCGACTCTTCTTCACATGTCTTCATCCATCCAGTGATGCTCAGTCTTCCTGCCAATGATATAATCACTGTTGACCTCCTGAAGCATCCATGCACATCTGAACCAACAGCGATTGCTTTCCAAGTCATCTGACATCAAAAAAAAGGGTCGACTGAGCCTGCTGAGGTAGTATACCACCGTCCTTCCACTTGTACTGAGATAGATAGCTCCAATGGTTGGAACATCAACCTTCCACTCTTCTCTGCATAGATCCTCCCTGCACCCACCCTCTTGTCTCAAACACAGAACATCTAGCCACACATACTCCCCTCCAAGGTTCAGCATCTCGATCCGGATGTGATTGAGGTCCGAATCTTTGGGAATCGGCACGGGCCATTCATAGCCATTGATAGGTGTCCACACATCCATCCGCTCCTTGTCAGACACCCATGCATGTGATATGGGCCACAGCCACAGATCATGGGTAACCCAGAATGGCACCACCCTATTAGCATACAGATCCCAGATGCACCGGGGTGGAATATCCCCCTGAGAGATTCTGTTATTGAACACCAGATTTTGTCGCATTTGCCGATCCTTGTCCCATGCTTCGCGGATGCGTTCGACAGTGCTCAAACCATACCAGTATGGACGCAGATTGGCATAGAGGGTGCCAAAGTCATAATCTTGTCTGATGAAGGATTCCAGAACAGATGACAAGGTGGGGTGATCGAGAGTATATGATGTGCCAAGTGTCGCATTGAGCTCCTTCAAGACCCCATTCATACCAAGGTAGGCACAGGGAGTGTCTGCGAGAGCAGATTGTATGGCAGGCATGGTACCAGTGTAGGAGCATTGCATTGGCACTGGAATGGTTGATTCTGCTTTGCCGGTCTCAGTGAGGGCAGAGAGTGTGACCTTGGGGAGGCTCTTATAATTTTCATGTGTTAACTTTCTCTGCAATATGTTATTCCTTGCCTATCTGTCTATAAATTGAAGTGCTTACCAGGTTATACCACTTTTCCTTCCCACTCCGCCATTCCCACTCTTCTATCATTTCTAAGTATCATAGTGGAATTAGAATAGCAAGGATCGAAGGTCAGACAACCACACATACCTTCCAAGGTGCGGATTGCCATCAAGATGTGGTAGCGCAGAATGTGTTACTCATGCTGTCCTGGTGGTAAGAAGGAGGTTATTCAAACTAGCGCCCGGACCATCATGTGTGCCACAGCTCGCCATCAGCAGCACTGCCGAAAATCCTGTGCACTTAATGCTGTAGATACAGCATCGCCATCAATCATGTACCCGTGATTTATGTTCTTGGCGATGATTTGGCACAGAAATGACGGAATATTGTAGGCCACCGATTTATTGATTATTTGTGTTGAAAGTAATATTAGTTGTCCAGAGCACATCTCGACATCTGATTTGTGGGTATTATGCGACATAAGTCTCGTAGGGCTGTAGGCTCGTACTTCGATCCCAACTTCCCCATGGCAGTCTCTTCTACTATCACTTGCCTGCCGCTGCCGCCTCCTCACACCAAGGTTTTACTGCATGCATCAAAATATTACACATCAGCTTCACGATGGTATACCTTGAGGTCTTTCCATTGCAAATACCGCTTTTTCAGTGCCAAAGATGCGTCTCAGGAATATTATCTATATCATTCATCTTACTAAAACCCTGTACTTCCTACAGGCTATTCTCTACGGCTTTCATATATCGGGGAAGTTGCAGCCGGTGGTGAAAAACGTTGCTAACCACTTTCGTTCAGATCCCACATAAGAAAATGAAAGAATGCCTAACCTCCCCTCAACAGTCCCCGCACTACATAACACGAAACCTCATCAACCCACGGAAACTCTGCTTCCAAAACTGCGTTTGACCTTCTCCCCATACCATGACTCAACATCCAAATTCCTCCGACATTTCCTCGTCATGGTCATCCATAGCGTCCCCTTCATCTTGAGCGTGTCCGCGTCCTGAGATGGTGAAGGTCGTAAATGCTCTCGTCACTTACGATCAGATGAAGCGAGCGATGTAGCCCTGAAATTGAGTGTCCCGTACATGTCTCAATTCAGGATCAAAGCAGTTGATGGGGTAAGAGGGGAGCCTGGCGAGAGAACGACCGGACGAACGTGCACAGACATGGACTATAATAGCTGTTCAGGATATCAATGCCCATATAACCGGGGTGAGAACGGAGTATGAGACTGATAGTGAGGCGATGACGCAGGGAGAAGGATGTGCCCACACGCGTCTGGGTCCTTTGATGGGAGAAAGCATATGAGGAGTTTGCTTAGGTATGTCTAAATGTGATGGGTCGCTGAGGACAAAATCCTGACAGTCATTCCTCAGTACACACTCTCGTTGCTTATGAGCAGATTTCAGCGGGTGATGGGGCACGAGAGGAATCTGGCGGGAGAATAGATGCTGATGAGACCATGGGAGATCAGCGTGCCCGGCGGATAGCCGAAGTAAAGATCACGGCGTCAACAAACCAATTTGAGGCTGCGAAGGGCCAGGAAAGAAAATGTGTGCGAGACTGTAGAGATGGAGGCCGAGTGAGTTACGGTTATTGGTAGCTTGCGGCCGTTTTGACAGTCGAGGTAAGCTGGTTACCACCTTTGGGGGAGGCGATAAGCAGTGTAGAGTCGCTAAGCGCCTACTCTAAGTGGCGGATGGAGGGAAGGTACGTTGTAGAGTCGGCCAATGCTGAGGCTATGTACGTGAGGCGCCCCGAGAGTGTCAAGCAGAGTCGAGAAGGTCGGTAAGCCGGGCTTCTCGGGCGCAAGATTTGTTGGAATACAACATTCGAAAGCTGGTGTGACAGAGACAGGAGAATGATGGGCATAACACGCCCACCCACACTCCCGAGTATGCTCCAACGCAAATCCCAACCAAAAATCCGATGCGCATTGCAGACCACAGCATCGGCGGATCTGCCACAAGGACATGCCGTGATCTACGCACATACGCGGGGACGAGGATGGCTTGACTTTTGGATCACATAGCACCGTGTTCGAATTGACGTAACATTAATATAAAAAGTTCCAGCGGGAAATAGGGGATGGCCACGCACAACGAGCGATCCTTGTTTCGAGTGTGCGACTGGAACTGTCGACTTGTGTGTGTTGGCAGGCGATGTCTGGTTGGAGCTATGGATGCTGTCCAGCCTGCGTTGGACGAGGCTGCCGGTGTTGATCACATCAGGCCATGCGTCTGCTATCGTGATTTTGCCGGAAGACAAACTAGGAGACGGGTGCGATATGGTGTAAGAGGCTATTTCGATGTCGTCGTGAATACCTGAGAGAAAGTTAGGTCACTCGTTACAGGTTCACGGCAGGAACATACATTTGGAAAACCAGTTATAGTGCAATTTGAACAGGAGCAACAGTGCGAATCCCTAGCGTTTGCCAGTGAAGTATGGTTTCCGGTAGTAGTCGTTGTCTTTGATTCGTGCCTTGATTGCAAAGACAACGACTACATGCAGTCGTAAACGTGATGGAGGTGCATCATAGGAGGAAAAACATACTTCGAAGGACGCCTGACGAATTTCACCGGTTCAACTTGATACGAACACCTGACTTCCTGTAAGAACAGTATCAGCTGTGTACAACCAACAACTCGACAAACGAGCGCGTACCTCTTTTTTCCAGTCATTCGTCTAGCATATATATACCACCAAAATGTCCATCCCTACAGCACAATTCCTGCGTCATGGCAAAACACGAATGGCCATCCTACTTCCGGCAAATCAATGAGACGGCGGGGGCAGAGAGGGTGTGGCAGGCAGCGGCAGTGAGGACTAGGTGGGTGCATCCCTTAACGCGTGGAGAATGGCAGGTCATTTCGCGGGATACAAGGATCTTCATCGAGTCAGGAGCGGGAACACTGCGATTCTGCCCTCGCTAGTTTTCTTGCACTGCTCATCGTCCACCTTGCATGTCCCATGCTGGTCGGAAAGTAATAAATCATCTCGGCGAAAATTCGACTCGTAGCCAGCGCAGGAAGCCATCGTATTCGTGGTCAAGGAAAGCCAGTCGAAGGGTGGAGCGCATGAACTTGATTACGGAAGATTAGCCTCCTTGCTCTCTTCAAGAACTGGGTATTGAGGTTTTTCCAGTTCATAAACCGACGTGCAGTCATCAAGAGGGTATAGATGACACAGTAGCATGGAGGGAGAAAAAGAAGCGCGCTTTGTTTGCTTCTCTGGGTGCCAAATAATCACGGCGCGTAGCGGGCCGCTGCGCACTGGTCTCCGGTGTACCTTCAACGTGCTTCGATCAAGGGTTTTCTCGTAACTTCCTTTGCGCTCCCCACTCCAAAGCTTCACGGTTTTGTCTTGCTTCCCCAAGGTTCAATTCCTATAAATTTGTTCAATTGAATTTCTATACTACGAGCCCGGTGACACGAGACATCATCCCAAAATCGGCTGCCCAACTGTTGGGAGAACGACGATAGGGGTCCTAACTTCACTGACCCATCTCGCTTCATCAAAGTTCCATGTACTTGAGACAAATCGTCGTCCTGAAATCGGTGACTCAGATATCAAAGATGGTATATGAATGCAAGTCAAGCGTCGTTACATGGTGATCTGTACCAATCAAGTTAGCAATTTGCGTCGGGGAAGCATAGTCCATGGAGCAGTATTAGCTTTGAGGGTGGTTCGTCATTGTTTTCCTCGAAGTAGCGTTCTGACACTGCGGAATATTTATTGTTCAGATTCAAGGAAGCTGGGCCAGGACACACCCCGCGAGATTTAGACGAGGAATTTTCTCATTCCGACTTCCTGATTCCATGTTGAGTGATAGACTAGTATTAAAATATATTCGCGTTCTCTCTTCTTCTAAATAACGTATTCTTTCCACGGCAGCCCTTTCTTCCGTTCAGTCTGACAATGGTCCCAGGCCGTGTAGTCCATCAGTCACTGTATATACACATTGGGTTTACGTTGAGGACAGAACCGAGAGCAAATCCCCGCACGTTCCTTGGTACGTATATCCCTCTCCGGAACGAAATGTATCCTCAGGCTCGCTTTAGATTTTGAATTCGTCTTTCATCAATCCCCACGTCCTTTCCTACGTGATATGTATACCGCTATCACAATAAACCTCCCAGTCGGACGGACCACCAACTATACGCCTAGGCCTGAAACCGGCCTCTCCCTGAAGTTCATGCTGTGCAACTTCTGAGTGCCGGGAGATATTAGTAGTATCGGGTACGTCGAAACTCGCTGATGTCACCCCGTCTATTTCAGGATTCGTTGACTAACTCTTCGCGTAGGCAGACGCAACATACACAGTCACTTATCCCCCAAAGGTTGGTTCCCTTTCAAAATCGACCCAATCTCATGAGGATCCGTGTGACGAATATTCGGCGTCGCGTTCCGGTAACAAACAGCAATCCTGCTTGCTTCGATTTCCTCGATTTCCTGTTTTCTGCTGCATGCCTGCAGAATAATTCATTTGTCGAAGACAGCGCTAACTGCGCTTTGTGTACTTGACGGTACGTTGGTATCCTTCTATTTAATGACAGTTTCGACTCACATGAAACGTTTTAGATTATTTTCGTGTACATTGAAATCAAAGAATACGATGTTCTCGACTCTTCTGCATGCGCTGTACACGACTATCAGCCAGAACTGGGATACACTGTCTATTTTGCTGCAGTGTTGTTAATCATAAATTTGGGATAACACCGCGCTCTCTGAAAATTCTTATCAACACGGTACCCGACTGAGGGGCTTGCTTTGAATGTAGTGCATCGACCTGCTTGTTTAGACTGAGCCATTGTAATCCCAATACGAATGGTACCGTAAATGGCGGACAGTGAGGGAAAATGAGACTCGGAGTTCTCGAAGAAGAAAAGAAAAAGTAACAATGTTCCTTGGATCGAGGCGAAATGGAGATGCTGCGTATGAAGACGAACACAGTAAATATAGTGAGGAAGGGAAAATATTGATAACGCAAATCATGTATCCCTTCTGAATCTCATTTAACGAAATCGAATGCTGCTGGCTGACCTGACAACAACGGATTCAGAGACGATATCAAACACCATCTTGTTTCCCGCCATAATATGATTGCCAGTCGTGTCATTTCCATTTGATTTCCTTCGTCCAAGGATTGCATTGTCACAGCCATCCCGGTGCTAGCAATCCACTGGGAGTCCAATGATAGTAACCAATAGGGAACATGGCCGCGTTCCTTCCACGGCTTGGTAGGTTCGTTCCTAGCACAGAGCGAAAGGAAAGCAAACATCTCCATGGAACTGCTGTACGGGCCGATGCGCACCCAGTGTCTGGCCCGGTCATAAAGCCGTGGTTAAGAGTCCGCCTTGGCCAGGCCTTCCATCTTCTTTCCTGACGTCTATCATCGTTGCTTTCAATGCGCTCCTGCCTCATTGAAACCCTTCATCGTTCTCCATCTCATATGTCTCTCTTTTATTCTGCGGCTCTATGAATACTTGAAGAAATTATTCCACACGATTGAAGTAAGTGCCGGTTCCGGGTTGCCCCTCCCATGAACGAATTATTGCCGACTTTCTGCAATGTTCACCCCTGCCTGAGCCAACAAAGATCGCTGTTTAAATCGCTTGTGTTCATTTTAAAAAACTGACCCAGCCTGCTGAGGTAATTCATCACCTTTGCACTGCGATAGACGGATCCGATGGTGTGTACAAGGACTTTCCACTCTTCTACGCATAGACCCCCCCTCCCCCCCTAATCCCACTTACTTCCTTCAGACACAGCATCTCGCCACTCGTATTCCTCTCCCACGTTCGACCTCTCGATCCGAATGAGACCAGCGCTCGTATCGTTAGGGATCAGCGCTAGGCAGGCCATTCACATCCACTGATGGGCATCCAGAAATCCATGCGCTCCTCATAAGATATCCACGCATGCGATATCGGCAATATCACATGCATGGATATCTGACGAATTGCCCATGGCGTTTCCTGGCAACCCAGAATGGTATACAGATCGAGGCGGAATGTTTCCGTCGGAGGGACACAGGTTTGTACCTTCTGCAATGTATTAATCCTTGCCTTTCTGTGATCCTTGCAAGTGTGTACCAGCGTCATCTAGTCGAAATCAGATAGTGACTCCGTGATCAACCATCCCTTCCTTTGCATCCGTGGGTTTTCGTCCTAGTGGTAGTGGAATGAGGATATGGAGCAGGGATCGAAGGTCAGACAACGATACATACCAAAGTAAAGAGACGACGTGGTTTGGTAACAAGCTGTGGTCGCATCAAACATGTCACCCGTGCTGTCCTCGTGGTAAGAAGGAAGCTGCGCGGACTAGCGCCCGGATCATCAAAATGCTCAGCATCTCCCATGCTGTGCTTGATATCGGTCTGATGAAGCCACCTTCGAAAAAATGTGCACAATTCAAAAATCTGGGGCTAAAATGAGGATAAACTTGATTTTAAGAGCCGATTTTCGCACCAATAAGCACAGACAATACGGAGAGGACAATGAATGGCCAACCCAAGACTGTTGAGGTCCTCTGATCGAAATGCAGGAAATATCCTATCAGAAGCGTTATGTATATGAAACATGGGAAGAAAAAGATGTACAAACTGGAATCAAGACAAACCTTAACATGAAATGAGGCAACTTATATATATGAACATTAAAAGACAATAAGAGTATGCAAACATACCTGAATCCACTGTGGAATGAACACATTAGCTAAGGAAAGATGCAATGAAAATATACGTACCAGCTCGCTCATGTTTCCACCACCATCCTCAGCAGTATGAAACCAGACCTGGTTTCGTTGATATCGATGTTTGTTGGTGGATGTGAAGACAAAGATTCGGTCTTGTACTTCAGCCACAGTGAACGAGAGAGCCACCTAGAAGCACCTCCGGGTATTGATATGAGAGTATATCAGCTTCAAGGGAAAATTTAAAGTGGGCGTCTGCACAGCACCTCACATGGATTATCTGTGAGCAGCAAAGAGTTTAAACAACTTTCGCCTTTCACATACGTGCTGATCTGCGAAGAAATAGTACGCGAAGAGTGAGAAAAAAAAAGGTAATGGCGGTTAGAGAGAAAGGCCCGTCATTGTTTGCACGGGCCGGTCCGACCCGGAAAAGACAGTCCACAACTTGGGTGGTGGTACCATTTCTCTATTTTTTGCAGCACATCATTCATTTATTCATCGGTACAATCATCGTAGTGAAAAAGTCTACAAAACCGCTACACGATGCGCCTCTCAGTCCTCTCACAACATACCATGAAACCTCTTCATTAACCCGGCGGTCCCGGCCCACGGAAACTCACCTTCCGAATCTGGGCCTTCGTCTTCTCCCACTACGACGACCTGGTATTCAAGTTCCTCGAGGCATTCCTCGTCTTGATCATCCTCAACATATCCTCGAATGACCTCGTCTTGCACCTAATATACAAGTCCTCAAGATGAGGAAGAAGCGTCAAATCGAGTATGCCGTACATGTTCTCCCCTTCTGACGATGGGATCAAAGTCGTTGATGGGACGTGGGAGAAGTCTCGTCAGAGGACAGACATTGACATAGTCGCTCTTCAATGACTGCATTGAAGACGAACGTGCACCGACCCGGGTAGTGAAGCTTGTTCAGGATATTCAAACGTCCGTAGCTGGGATGCGAGATCGAGAATGAAGAGGTTAACCACGGAAAGTATATGTATGCGAGGGAGAGGATACTTTGCACGAGGAGAAAGCGCTCAAGGAGCTATCAGAACTCCGAATTGGGTAGGTTGTATTGGACAAATCCCCGACATTCGACTCAGAGAGGTAATCTGATTAGAATCGTCGAGGGTAATATGTTGAGTAGAATTGATCGCCCAGTGGGGGTGGAAGGTGGGAAATACAGTACAAGATGTGTTGTAGAGTCGACCAATATTAATGGTATGTAGTCGACGGCACCCGAATAGCGGAGAGATGCAAGCAAAGCTGAGAAGATCCGTAAATGGAGCTTCTGAAGAGCAATGTTTGAGGGAATACAGTCTACGGATGCTGGAACGGTAGAGATAAAGCAGATGACGTGCAAGACACGCCTAGACTCCCGGATAGACTCCAATGCCAACCCAACGTACGAACAGTCGATGCGCATTGTAGACCACAGCCTCCGCGTACGTGCAACAAGGTCATACCATGAGGCGCACACATCCATCGCACCCACGTCCAAGGGAACGAGTGCCGTCTCGCTTTTGACCTGCGTGTAGCGTATTGCACCCTTCCGTAGAACGAGCACTGTCGGATCTTTGAATGACGTAGGTATAGTTCCACAGGAGTGCTGACGGGAGAAGTGGGGGCGGCGTGTGCAAACACTGGTGTTTACGTATGTAATTCGGGAAACATCGTCGTGTGTGTAGGCGGGCGATTTCTGACAAGGGAGTCATCTAGCCGGCATTGGGCAAGGCTGCCAATGTTGAACACATTGAGCCCCGTAGGCCATCGTGACTTTGTCGGAACAGTTGGGCGAACAGATCAGGACAGGGAGGTGATATGGACATTAGTGGTGTATCAGGCTTTTTTGATATCGTCTTAAACACCTGAGAAAGAGTTAGCAAGCTCATTACAGATTGCTGGAAATGTACCATTGGCAAACCGGGGATAATGAATTGTGAACGAGGATATCAGTGTGCGTTCATAGCGTTTGTGAGTGATCTATGAATGCCGTTGAATGGCGGCATATGGCATACAAACATCAAGAATCTTACCATCGAAGTCCCCTTTCAGAGAGATGAATAACCAATAAACGGGGGTGGATAAAGGCGCCCGCTGGCTCCTTGGTCTTGGTCCTCGATTCGCGTGCTAGTTATAAAGGCAATGACTACATGGATTCGTCAAAGCGATGGAGGCGAATCGTAGGAGTAAAATTTACTGCGAGAGAGCCGGATTGAATTTCACTGGATTCAACTCGACATGAACGCATGGCATCCTGAAACAATAGCCTCAGCATTGTAAAACCAACGATTCGGCAAATGAGCACGTACCTCCGCCAGCATGTCGAACCATACAGCATAACTCGAGTGTCACGTCAGAAAATGAATGGTCACTGTACACTTGGCGAAACTATGGGATGGTAGGAATGAAGAGAATGCATTGGCAGTGGCAGTGGGTACCAGGCGGATGCATCCCTTGATGTGTACGATGGGCCGGGTCTTGCGGGTGATATGTGAATCGTCGTCTTGTCAGGCGTGGTGCCCTCGCTAATGTACCTGCCCTCCTTCTCGTCCTCCTTCCATGCTCCATACAGGCCGGAAAAAAATACACCGTCTATGCGAGGGTTGTCAGGAGTGATATTGGGATTTGTGGGGAAGGATACCGGTCGAAAGCTGGATGCAGGAACTTGGCTATGTTCTTCTCTCTTCAAAAACTAAATACGACGGTTGGTCCAGGTACGCAGTCTACGAGAGAGCGCAAAGGTCATAGTAGCATAGAGCCTTGCGGGGAAAGGAGGAACGAAGCACGCTCTGTTTGGTTCTCTGGGTGCCAAACAATCCCGGCGCGTAGTAGGGCCGTGCGCAACCAGTGTCCGGGGTACCATCAACGGCTTCGATCAAAGGCTTCTCTCGTAATATTTATCGTCGTCCCGACTGTTCTGGTCCATCTCGCTTCTTCATTACCCCGTTCCCAGAAATTATTTCGATGAAAGGTTGCCACCGCGGATCTGACACGATTCTTCGTTCTGCATAGATCGGCTATTGGATGGTATGACAGTTCATCTCCACCTGGTGATCTGTGCGATCGAACTCGCGATTTGGGTTGGGGAGGATGACCGGTTGACCCATGGAGAAGAGATGGGCTGAATTCTCCAGGAAATTTAGAGGGTGATGCGACATTTTAATTCTCCATTGTAATGTTTTGACGGTGGCCAGAAGGTTTCCGATTCTGAATCTATAAACAAGATAACCCCGGCCTTTCGACAATGCACTTCTCCATACAGACGACTTCTTGTGGAGGCTCGTAGGCATCGCTTGCACTAACCTCGATGGGTGACTCTTCCCAAAGGACTTCAGAGCACGATATCCAGTTTGTCGAGTTAGTCCCCTTTAGTTGATAGGATTCTCACCTCATTTCTCAATAGTGTGCCATGACAAATCAGTTGAGTACGATGTCAGCCTCGTTTTTGGTACATAACGGTCTGTTGCCGTCCTTCGGCTTGACGGTCATTTGCCTGACTTACCATTCAGATTGTATTGCTGCATACTGGAGTTCTAAACTGCCGCATTTTCGAAATTTTTTGGGCTCATGAACGGAAAACCAAGGATTGAAATTGCACAACGCTACTCATAGTCCGACTCCCCTTATTCTGCCAGTTCTTCTAATCAGCAGTATGAACTCTCGCACTCAGACTCGCCGTCTCTCTTTCCCGGCGTCCGATGGACCATGCCGTTTAATTCTACCTACCTCAACGTTTGAGAAACAGACACAGAACTCCTGTTCACCTCTTCGAGGACTAGAATTTCACGTTGCTTGGTGTTTTCCTTGCCGACTTCAGCTGACGTCAATCTGAAGTTCGCACGTCATTGCAGAATTATACCTATGAACCTCGATCTAGTCATCTCTGCTAAGATTTCGTGACAGCGTGTAGCGATCGTCCAGAAACTGGTACGTTTTTGTTGTATCGATATCTTTGAGGACTGAATCAAAAACAGTCACGACGGCTGGCTTTCACATTCGGCTTCGGCTTCGACTTCGTGAACCAGACAAGCACCCTTCGCGTTTGTCTCAATTTCGTTTCTGTCTTTGGATTACCCATTTCTTTTAATACAGCTGACGTAAATCTCAAGTTCGCATGTCGTCGCGGAATTATACTTGTGCACCCGGATCTAGTGGTGTTTACTAAGATTTCGCGACGCGTTACAAGGGTTTCCCGGAAGCAGGTACGTTTTTGTTGCATCTATCTTTGAAAGCTAAAACAACAATGTAGCAAGGTCTGACTTTGGAGCTCTGCTTTGGCCTCGTGAATCGAGCAGGTAACTTTCACTTGTCTTGCATTTCCTTAGACGACCTTTCTTCCTCTCAAGAGATGGGGGCTGTGAGAACAATGTATTGACATGTGCGTACGACGTTCTTTCACTTATTTTTATTGTACTTATCATCGTCGATAGGGTGTTTCGACCAACGTACAGCAACGGTCCTGGGTTCACCTATGCCTTCGCTTCCAACACAGTCTGATCATGCCGTGAAGAGTGTATACGCTTTTAAGAATGCTTGTATGCACGCTCATCCCGTCTGAATGCCAGATGAAGTGTTCCATTCCGCTAGGTTCTGGGAAGGCTCAACCAGCATCGCCTATTCTTTAAGAACAATGGTTCGCTTGCAACGGGGAATGAATCCATCATGAATACCTGTGATGCAGGAGGAAATCACCAGGTCCTCGATGACTTTTAATTTTTCCCTACTTCTTCTTGGATTGCTTAGCCGAAGATACTGTACTATTACAATCAATTTGAACGCGGTCCAAGATTTTTTGCGCTGTGAGGCGTGACATTCAAATTGAACGAAAGGTACAGTAGAGGCTGAAGCACGCATTCAATGTAGAGATTAGGGACATATAGCATAAGAAAGTAAGTCGATAGAAACAGAAACAATATCCTAGTCCTACTCATCATCATGCCTCTCTATCGTTAGACCGACGCAAAGCACGCCATTGTCCTGTTTTCAGCAAAGAAATATTTTACCATTGACATGCACCTGAGGGACCGACCAAAGCTTCCAATGTTCGTCCATATCTGCCAGTTGAATCACCGACACTTTTTCAAACTTCCCATCCCACCGTTGCCGCCCAACTGCCCAACGTAATGACGGTTGATAGCCAGAAAGGGTAGAGAAACTGTCAATGAGGGTATATGAGCCATCGGGTATGGGGTATGCATGATCAGCGAGGATCTTTAATGTACAGGGCACCCCAGTACTTCCTATAACCACCAACTCGCCCGGTCGAGGCATCCCCTTGTTTGATACCTCACCCAATCCATGCACAGTACCTGACTTGATGTATGCGCACTTACACCAGTCAGCACCTGTCTCATCAGTCCTAATGGCTGCCGAAAATGCAACAAAGTGATTCCATGGTCGAGGTGGCATCGCCTTTATCTGGTTCCATGATGGTCGCCAACGTTTGCATCCATTCCCGGGCTCAGGGTATAGGAAGAGTAAATCTGTGCGATACCCCACAGACATGACATCCACAAGTGATCCCCAGGCATCCTCTTCAGACTGTGTTTCATCGTATATCGGGATAGACTCTCGGAAGAGAATATATGCCAGACCTGCTACTTTATCCAGAGGCTTTGTCGATACCCGATTTTGCATCTCCCTCAGGATGTCGAACACACTACCAGGATTTACCAAGTTCAGTGAATGTAGGCGTTGTTCGACTGTTTGTCGCATGTCTCTGTCCATCGAGTGATCATCGGTCTCTCCACCGATGATATATTTATTGCTGACCTCCTGTAGCGTCCATGCACGCCGAAACCAACACCGATCGCTTTCCAAGTCCCCCGGCTTCAAACAAAATGGTCGACCCAGCCCGCTGAGGTAATACACTACCACTGCTTTGCGATAGATAGCTCCGATGGTGGGCACGTCGACCTTCCACTCTTCTCTGCGCAGATTCTCCCTGCAGCCACCCTCTTGCCTCAAACACAAAACATCTAACCAAACATATTCTGCTCTGAGGTTCAACAACTCGATCCGAATGAGATTGAGGTCCGCATCTTTCGGTATTGGCACGGGCCATTCATAGCCATTGATGGGTGTCCATAGATCTATGCGATCCTCACTAGACACCCATGCATGCGATATCGCCCATGCAGAATCCCTGGCGACCCAGTATGGCACCACTCGATTAGCATACAGGTCCCAAACGCGCCGGGGTTGAACATTCCCATCGGAGATCCTGTTATTTTTGACCATATTTTGTCGCCCTTCCCGATCCCGATTGTATTCTTGGCTTATGTGTTCGGCAACGTACAAGCCATACCAATACGGACGCAAATTACCATAGAGAGTGCCAAAGTCGTAATCCTGTCTGATGAAGGATTCAAGAATGGAGGACAAGACGGGGTTGTTGAGAGTATATGACGTTCCGAGTGTCGCATTGAGCTCCTTCAAGACCCCATTCATACCGAGGTCGGCGCAGGGAGTGTCAGCGAGAGCGGATCGTATGACAGGATTTTTACGAGTGTAAGACCTTTGCTGCGGCACTGGAATGGTTGATTCTGCTTTGCCAGTCTCAGTGAGGGCGGAGAGTGTGACTTTGGGGAGTTTCCCATAATTGTGATATGTTAAAGATCTCTGAAATGCGTTATTACTTCCCTTTCTGTGCACACATTAGAGTGCTTACAAATCGATCCCGATTATCCTGTACGGCCCACCATTCCTCTTCGTGCGTCCCGGGTTTTTTTCCTAGCCGTAGTAGAATGAGGATACCAGGATTGAAGGTCAAACACCGACACATACCAGAGATGATGCCGGTTGACATCAAGCTGTGGTCGTATAGAATGTGTTACTCGTTGTCAGGGGTACTTGGGGTTAGTACGAATCCTTTGTAAATAGTTCGGGAGTTCAAGCACGAATGCTATGGTTTTCACTAGCTGAGGTTGGGTGGTTTTGTGGTCGAGTTACTTTGTGTAACCGTGTGGTGGGTGATGGATGTTGCGTTTGGTAAGCGTTCGGTGACTTAAAGGGTTTTGGAGCGTGCGTCACAGGCGTACCTAGATGAATGTAGTTAATAAAATGGGCGCGTCACGAGCGAGCCTAGAACTGTGATATGTTTGATTGATGGTGCGTCACGAGCGTGCCTAGAAATGGGGTTTGTAGTTTGAGAGAGCGCGTCACGAGCGAGCCTAGAATAGATGTGTTGGTAGTTCTTGTTATTTCTCTCAATATGGCTTGAAGTAGTTGTAAGTGTGTAGTGTGATGGGTAAAATGTCGATAATCTTATTGCTCTTCTCTGCCTCGGATTATGGCTGTGCAACCCTGTGCCTCGCCATCACGATCAATCGCATACCCATGATTCATGTTCTCGACGATGATTTGGCACAGAGATGACGGAATATTGTAGGCCACAAGCGATTTATTGATTATTCGTGTTGAAAGCAATATTAGTTGCCCAGAGCACATCTCGACGTTTGATTTGTGGGTATTACGTGACATAAGTCTCGTAGGGACGTAGGGGCGCGCTTCGGTTTCAACTTCTTTGTGGCTATCTCCGCTGCTATCACTTGACAACCGCCGCCTCCTCCTCCCACCAAAGCTTTACTGCACGCACAAAAATATTACATATCGGCTTCACGACGCTCTATCTTGAGGCTTTCCATCGCTAATACCATTTTTCCAGCGCCAAAGGTGCATAGTAGAAATGTTATCTATTATCACTTATTTTACGCAAACCCCGTAGGATGCGAAATCTCCTTCTCTACTGCTTACATATGTCTGGGAAGGCGCGGCCGACGGTGAAGAATGTTGCTGCTTGCTACGTTCAGACCCCACAAAAGAAACTAAAAGAACGCCATAAAACTTCAACGTCAACCATGGAAACTCTCCTTCCAAAATGGCGTCTTATCCTCTCCCCATACCACGACCCAACATCCAAATTCCTTCAACATTTCCTCGTCTGGTCATCCATAGCGCCCGCTTTGTCTTGAGCATGTCTGTGTCTTGAGACAGGGAAGAAGGTCTTACATACTCTCATTACTTACGCCCGGATGAAACGGGTGATGCAGCCCTGAAATCGGGCGTGCCGTACACGCTCGCTTCCAACGACAGGATCTAAGCGGTTGATGGGGGGAAGAGAGGAGCATGGCAAGAGAACGATGTTAAAGATGAACGTGCGGAGACAGGGACTATGATAGTTATTAAGGAGATCGACATCCATATAGCCAGGATGAGAAGGAGGAATCAGACTGATAGTGAGGGAGTGAAGCAGGGAGAATGATATGCACGCGAGCGTCCGGGTCCTTTGATCGGGAGAAAATATTCGAGGAGTTTTCTTAGTATGGCTGAACTTGATGGGTCGTTGTGCTGGCAATCGTTCCTCGCTTTGACCATCCTCGGCATCTCCTCGAACCGCCTCGTCTTGTGCGTACTACTCAAGTCCTCAAGATAGGGAAGACATCGTACACACTCTCGTTGCTTACGAGCAGATTTCAGCGGGTGAGGAGGCACGAGGAGAATCTGGAATGAATGCCGATGACGTCATGGAAGATCAGCGTGCCCGGCTGATAGCCAGAGTGACGAGTACAGTGTCGGCAAACCGGTTTGAGGACGTGAAGGACAGGGAAGGAAATATATGCGAGGTTTATAGAGACGGAGGCCGAGCGAGTTGCGTGCGATGGGTAGCTTGCATGGGAACGGCCCTTTCGACAGTCGGGGTAAGCTGGTTTGTACTGTTGGTGGAGGCGATAAGCCGTGTACAGTCGCTGAGCGCCCATTCTAGGTGGCGGAGGGAGGGGAGGACCGTTGTAGAGTCGGCGAATGCTGAGAGTATATGTACGCGAGGCACCCGGAGACTGCCAAGGCGGAGTCGAGAAGATCTGTAAATCGGGCTTGTCAGGCGCAAGGTTTGTTGGAATACAATATTCGAATACCGGGGTGGCAGAGCCAGAGGGGATGACGGGCATAACACGTGCACACTCCCAAGTATGCTCCAATGGAAATCCCAACCAAAGAGCCAATGCGCATTGCAGACCCCAGCCTCGGTTTATGTGCAACAAGGACATGCCGTGATCTACGCATATACGCGGAACAAGGATCGCTTAACCTAGTATTGTGTTCGAATTGACGGAACATCAACATAAGTAGTTCCAGTGGGAGATGGCGGATGGTCGCGCACAACGAGCGATCTTTTTTCGAGTGCGAGATTGGAAATGTCGACTTGCGTGTGTTGGCGGGTGAAGTCTGATTCGAGCTGATGGATGCTGTCCCGCCGGTATTGGACGAGGCTGCCGATGTTGATCACATCGAGCCATACGTCTGCCATCGTGATTTTGTGGGAAGAGCTTGGCATACAAAGGCGGCGATATCGGCATTAGCGGTATAGGGAGGCTAATTCGATGTCCTTGTTAAAACCAAAGTCACTCGTTATAGATTCATGGGAACATACGTGTGGAAAACCAGTGATAATGTAATTTTGGACAGGAGCAACAGCGCCCATCCTAGCGTTTGCCAGTAAACTATAGTTTCCAATGGTAGTCGTAATCTTTGATTCGTGCCTTGATTGCAAAGGCGATGACTACACATAGTCGTCAACACGATGAAGAGTGCATTGTAGGCATGATACATACAAGAAGGGCCGCCAGATCGAACTCTGATTCTGACCAAATTTAATTCGACATGGACGCTTGACATCCTGCAAGAATAGTATCAGCTGCGTGAAACGAACGACATGGCAAATGAGCACGTACCTCTTTCTTCCCGTCGTTCGTTTACCGTATACATACCACCAAAACCTTCATCCCTATAGCACGATTCGAGCATCACGGGAAAACACGAACGGACATCCTACTTCCGGCGAAGCAATGATACACGGATCTTTGTCTAGTCAGGAACGGGAACGCACTGCAATTCTGCCCTTGCTGGTGTACCTGCATCGCTCGTCGTCCACCATGCGTACTCCGTGCTTGCCGGGAAGCAATACACCGCCTCGGCAGAATAATACGACTCCCACGCAGCTCAGAGTGCCAAAGAGGTCACCGTATTCATGTTCAGGAAACCGGTCAAACGGTGGAATGTGGGAACTTAGCTTACGGCAGAGTAGCCTCGCCGCTCTTCAAGACTAGATACCGGGGTTCGTCCAGTTCATAAACCAAGGTCATGTATGTGACGGTTGCTCAGGATATCAGCGTCCATACCCAGGATGATAGTGGGGCGTGAGATATGATCGCTGGCGCCCGGGTACTTCGGTATGGACACAGCGTTCCGGGAGTTTGCTTGGTACGTCCGAACTGGGTGGGGTTTTACGCACAGGAACCTGAGGTTCAGCTCGAAGCGGTGAGCTGATTGGCGCCTTCGAGGGATGGAGATAAGCCGCATCGAATGTATTTTCGTATATTCGAGGTGGTGAAGGGAGTGTTACAAGCTGAAAAATACATTGTACAGTCAACCAGTATCAAGGGTATGTAGGCGAAGGCACCCGAAGAGGGGAAAGAGGAAAGCAGAGTTGTGCAGACGCCCAAATCGAGCTTCTCGAGCACAAGGTTTGTTAGAATATAGTCCTCGAATGCCGGGCGGCAGAGCCACAGCGACGACGCGTAACACGTCTAGCCTCCCGGATGTACTCCGATCAAAACCCAAAATACGAACAGCGCGTGCTTGGCGTGGATCACGGTATCGTGGTAAGGGTAACAACGTCACACAGCCATGGGAACGAGCAATGTCTGTTTTTTAGACGACGTCGGGTTATAGTTCTACAGGAGAACCAGCAGCAGAGATTGGGCCGACGCGTGCAAAGAGTAGTATTTTCGATGGTTAGCCTGAGAACGTCGTGTTGTGTGTACAGGTGGACGATCTGTGATGGCCGGAGTCGTCTAGCCAGCCTTGGGCGAAACCGAGGACGTCGAAGCTTACGTCTGCCATCCTGACTTCGTGGGAAGAGCTGGGCGAACGCTTAGGAAAGGGAGGTGATATCGAGATTAGTGGTGCAGGAGGTTATTTGGGTCGCTCAGAAGCTGGACATTCTATACCTTCGAAAAAGTTAGCTGGCTCCTTAGAGAATCCCAGGAACGTACAATCAGAAAACCAGTGACAACTAATATTTGAATGAGGATAGCAGGGTGCGTTCATAGTGTTTTCCAGGGATCTATGAATGCGTCAGCGGTCGAACAGCAGCATATAACATAAAAACATCAGGAATATTGCTGTCGAAGTACCCTTGCATAGGAGATGAACGGCTGATAAACGGGGGTGGAGAAAGGCGCCCAGCGGTCAACTCCCTGGCAGTGGTCCACCATCCGTGCCCTGACTACATGTATTCGTCAAAGCGATGAAGGAGTATCGTAGGAGTAAAACTCACTACGAAGACGTCAACAGCGTAAAACAACGACCCGACAGACGAACACGTACCTCTTCCTTCCCGTCCCCCGTTTACCAGCTATATACCGCCAACACGTCCATCCCGACAGCACAACTCGAGTGTTACGTCAGTAAATGAACAGCCACTCGACATTGGGCGAAGCGATGAGATGGAGAGCGTGTTGTCAGTAGCAGTGAGGACCAGGTGTGTGCATCCCTTGACACGTGGAAAGGGTGGGTCTTGCGTGTGATACCCAGATCGTCGTCCCGTCAGGCATGAGAGCACACTGCGCTTCTGCCCTCGCTGGTGTACCTGCTCTCCTCGTCGTCCTCCCTGCGTGCTCTTTCCTTGCCGGAAAGAACACACCGTCTTGGCAAAAATTCGACTCGCAGGCAGCACAATTTGATATGGAGGTCACCGTATTCGTATTCAAGGAAACCGGTGAAAAGGTGGAATGCGGGAGCTTGATTACGGCAGATTAGCCTCGCTGCTCCTCAAAACAAGATACCGGGGTTCGTCCAGTTCATAAGCAGGTCGGCACTCTTCGAGAGGGCGCAGAGTAGCGATGGCATGAGAGCGAAAAGGAAAAGAAGCACGCTTTGTTTGCTCCTCTGGTGCCAAACAATCCCGGCGCGTAGCGGGCCCGTGCGCAGGCGGTATCCGGGGTACCAGCAACCGCTTCCATCAAAGGCTTTCTCGTAACCGTTGTGGCAATCTCCGCTTCTCCAGTCCATCTGACTTCCTCATTACCCACTGCCGGGAAATCTTTCAACGGCAAGTCTACACCATGGACCTGACACGAGTCTTCGTCCCGCAATTGCCAGCCCAACTATTGAAGAATCTTGGTCCCAAATCGGCGGCTCAGCTATCAGATGATGACAAATGAATGGAAGCTTAGCGTCGTTACCTGGTGATATCTACCAATCGAGCTTGCAATTCGCGTGGGGGATGTAAGGCTATTGTCCATGGAGCAGCATTATGCTTTGAGGGTGCTACGTCATTGTCGTTCTTCGTTATAGCGTTCTAATGCTACAGAATGGTTATTGTTCCGATTCAATGAAGCCGGGCCAGGACACACCTCACAAGATTTAGACGAGGTACTTCCTCATTCCGACTTCCTGATTTCATGTTCATTGAAAGACTGGTATTTAAATATATTCGTTCTCTCTTCTTCTAGCTGACATGTTCTTTCTACGGCAGCCCGTTCTTCCGTTAAGTCTGACAATGGTCCAAGGCCGTGCAGTCCATCAGTCACTGTATATACACATTGGGTTTACATTGAGGACAGAACTGAGTATATCCCTCTCCAGAACGAAACACATCCTTAGCCTTGCTTTAGATTTTGAATTTGTCTTTCATCGATCTCAGCGTCCTTTCCTGTGTGATATGTAGACCGCTGTCACAATAAACCTCCCAGTCGGACGGACCGCCAACTATGCGCCTAAGCCTGAAACGTACTTTGTCCTGCTTCATGCCGTGCAGCCTGGGGTGCCGGGAGATATTTGTAGTATGGGGTACGCCGAAACTCGTTAATGCCAACCCTTCTCTTTCATGGGATTCATTGACTAACTCTTCGCGTGGGCAGACGCAACGTACATACGTACACTTGTCCGCCAAAGGTGGGTTCCCTTTCAAAATCGATCCAATCTCATGACGATCCGTGTAACGAATATTCGGCATCGGCATACGATAACAACAGAAAGCAGCCTGCTGCTTACTTTGAGGTTCTTCTTCCATTTCCTGTCATCTGCTGCATGTCTGAAGAATAAATAGTGTATCACGATGAATTAATTCATCGTGGACGCATTGTGTACTTCCCTGTACGTTTTTATCATTTCATTTAATGACGGCTTTGACGGACACGGAACGTTTTAGGTCTGTATTCGTGTATACTGAAATCAAAGATTACGACTTTTCAGTTCTTCTGCACGCACGGTACACGACTGTCAGTCACAACTGGTATACACTGTCTATTTTGCCACGCAATGTTATACATCGTGACTTTGAGATAACATAAGCTCTCTGCAACTTCTTATCAACACACTACGAACCGAGTGGATTGCTTGAGATGCAGTACGTCGACCCGTTTGTCTAGACAGAGGCTACAGTATCCGTTGTAACCCTAGATATGACGGGCAGTCAGTGAGGGCAAAAGAGACTCGGAGTTCTCGAAGAAGAAAAAGTAACGATGTTCACTGAATCGAGGCGAAGAGGAGATGCTGCGTGGGAGGAATCGTCAAACGCAGTCAACATAGCGAAGAAAGGAAGATCCCGACAACGCAGATCACGTACCTCTTCTCATTCAGCGCAATCGAAGGCTGCTGACATGACGAGAGATGCATAATCTTCTCAACCCCGAACCCTTTCACCAACATGTATTCGTAAACACTATCGAACGTCGTCTTGTTCCCCGCTGTAACGCGATCTCCAGTGGTGCCATTTCTGAGCTCGCCTTTCTCCCTGGAACCAAAAGCATAGCTTATGGTATCTCTGGACTCGGTAGGGAATGGAGAATGCCAATTCGCGCGAATCTTCACTATCTGTAGGGATGCAGAGCTTTTCTGTTGCCTTTCTGTCCAAGGAATGCAATGGATCTTCATAGCGGGTCAGACCGTACTAGCAATCCTCTGGGAATTCCTCGATGGTAGTCAGTAGCGAATATGGCAACGCTCATTCGAATGCTTGGTAGATGCTGGTGCTGGGGTTTCTACCAGCACAAGGGACGATAGGGAAACTTTCCCTTTGAACCGCTCTACGGGCCGGTACGCACCAACTGTCCGGCCCGATCTTGACACTTAAAACCGAGGTTGAGAGTCCGCCGTGGGCCTTCCATCTTCTTTCCTGACGCCTATCATCGTTGCCTTGAATGCCCTCCTGCCTTCCATCGTTTTCAATCGTGGATTGCTCGCTTTTATCCTGCAGCTATATGAATATTTGACGAAATTATTTCACACGGTCGAAGTGCCGGTTCCGGGTTGCCCCTCCCATGAGCGAATTATCGCTGACTTCCTGCAGTGTTTATGACCGCCTGAACCAACATTGATCACTGCCTAAATCATCTGGCTTTATTAAAAAAGGCCGATCCAGCCCGCTGATGTAGCACACTGCCTTTGCACTGCGATGGATGATCTGATGGTGGGCACGACGACTTTCCACTCGTCTATGCGTAGATCTTCCCTACGCCCATTTAATTTCCTCAGCAACATAACATCTAACCATACATCCTCTGATCGCAGGCTCAACATTTCGATCCGTGTCTTTAAGGATCGACCATTCAGCGCTCAGCACGGGCCATTGATGGGCACCCAGAGATCCATGCGCCCGCCATCAGATATCCACGCATGCGATATTGGCAATATCACATGCATGGATATCTAACGAAATGCCCATGCGTATTCTCTGGAAACCCAGAATGGCACGACCCAATTGGTGTACAGCTCCTGATGTGTCGATGGGAGATATTTCTGTCGGAGATGCTGTTATCGACGATCATATTTTGATGTATCTCCCCGTCCAGGTCCAGGCCCCGAACTTCGTGGATTCGCATGGTAATAGTCAGTTCATACCAATAGGAACGGAAATTAGCGTAGGCAGTGCTGAAGTCGTAATTTTGTGAAATGAAGGATTCGAGAGCCGAGTTGTCTGGAATATATAGTGCGTCGACTGTCGTATTGAGCTCCTTTAAAACCCTGTCAATACCAAGGTCAATGCAGGGAGTATTCGCCTGAGCGGATTGTATAACCGACCTTCTACCCGTATAGGACCGTTGCATCGGCATTGGAATGGCTGATTCTGCTTGACCAGCGATCTCGGCGAGGGCGGAGAGGGAAGACTCTCATACGGGACACACGTTCGTACGTTCTGCAACGCATTAATTCTTGCCTTTCCGTGCGCCTCGAAGCGCTTACCGGCGTCATTCAGTCAGGGACTCCTCGATCAACCATCCCTTCCCCTGCACCCGGAGGTTTTCTTCCTAGTGGTAGCAGAATGAATATACCAATCAAGGATCTAATGACAAACAAGCATACATACGAATGTACAGAGACGGCGTAGGTTGGAAGCAAGTTGTGGTCGCACCAAACCTATGACAAGGAAGCTGCACGGACTAGCGCCCAGATCATCAAAGCGGGTAAGAAACAGCTCGGCATCAGCGGGGATTCGAAGACTAGATGCTGTGTTTGATATCTACGGCCTGGTGAATCTGCTTTCAGTGAAACGGAACATCCGGAGCCAGAATGAGGGAGGATAAACATGATTTTAGGAGCTGACTTTCGTACCAATGAACAACAGGACAGAGAGAGAGAGAAGGTGATGGCGGTCAGAGAAAGGCTTTGCCGGGACGGTCCGACCGGTCCACAACTTGGGTAGTGGTGCATTTATCTATTTCTGCATATCGTTCCTTTATTCATCGGTACAATGGTCCATGCGAAAACCCTACAAAATAAACTACAAAATCTCCAGAGGATGCCCTTCTCAGCAAACTTCGCTGATTTCTCTTACTTCACGGACAAGTTCACATGATGGTCAGGATACAGCCACGGCCGCAGGTTTACAATCAATGCTGCACAACCTGCCCTCAGGTACACGCGATCAGAGAATCAGAGGTCCGGTCCGGGTCCAAACTTTACGTGCTATACTCATACCCTTTGTGTCGTCTACAGCCGTGTCATTTTAAGACGCTGAAATTGTGAGGCCATTTGGGAGGTCCGAGGCTGGCAAGGAGCGACTGGTATCCCGGTGGTGTTCGTCTGTACGGCGCTGTACAGCACAACAACAGACGCCTAAGGGTCTAGATCTTGGAGACCAATGCTGTACTTTGCAAGTTTAAAAGCTCTACCAAGGTTCAAGCACCGTTGTGGTACAATGGGTATGCTTTTTCTTGAAATCGGGTAAATCATTATTCTGCATTCGTTTTTAAACGCAGGTTCACTAGGGTAAAAATGGACTCGCATTCAGTTCTGACTTTGATTCGTGAGATTCTCAGGTGTGCTATAAACCTGGGCGGGGCTAGATTTGATACGTTCTGGAGTGATCTAGTCCGAAGTCAAATGTATGATGCAGTGCGCGACTTCTCTGAACAACGTTTACACAGCACACTCATCTTCAAGACAATATAAAGATACCTTCGACTTCATAGTTTACAGTGTTCCCTGACCAACCGTATGCATCAACCAAACCTACCGCACATCTCATTCCAACCGGATACTTTTAAAGTCTGTAATCTTCGCCGCCAAGACTTGTGGAAAATAGGCGACAGTCCATTTCATGCAACCGGTGCTATAAATCGCTATGGAGCATTCTTCTCTTGGATAGATGATAAGCCTACGGTATTATGGTTAGAAAATGGTGAGAAATTTGTGGAATATTCGATCAAGTATTTGTCTGATTTCTGAAGGTCCTCCTAGGGTACCGGCGTGAGTTGTGAATCTCAGTCCGAGTACAGGGATGTTCATATGAACGACCAGACTGATCGCAACAGAATGCCTTTTTCACTTGAAGATATCCTTAAAGGCTACATCCGGCATAGCGTATTATCTTTGCGCCCGAAATAAGGGGTACAACGACATTGTTGGCTCACTTCTGTATCAGCTCGTTCAACAAATACCTTTAACGGATATATCGCCTCTGCTTCTATGTCATGTCCTCAACACAAAGAACGTCAGTATCATAGAAGATCTGTTCATCCGAACTTGCGACAAATTCGAGAAGATTTATGTTGTTCTCGATGCTATTGACGCATACCACGATTCGCCTAATATCCTTGACGATTTAATGGAGATGATCAGTCGTCTGTCAAATATCGCCTCAATATTATTTACTACTACTCACTCCAGCGCCAACATCCGGACCAGGTTCGCAAACGTCAGCAGACTTAATGCCTTGTCGCTTATACTTCGAACGGGAACATATACCATGGACACCACTGTACAAGAATCCCCTGATCTCGTTGAAGAGATCCTCTTGTCTTTGACAAATCCTTTATATCACAAGTACGTCTGGAGACCCATATCACGCTTCGTTTGTGATTACAGCCAGCTGAAACGGATCATAGCTATTGCAGGCTGTTTATTTTCGAACCAGACCCGGTTCCCTACCTCCAACGGACGGCATACAACTGGGCAAAACAGAAAATCTCTGAAATACTCGACAGAGGACCTCCTAAATCAACTAACATCGCTTCCGGAAGCGATCTTCTCCGCAAGATACAGGAGGCGCTGTCAGGAGGCCGGAATTTGGATCATTCTTTCCGAAAATTCATTGTCTCGACCAACTCGTGGCGCAATATCATACCTCTAGCGGCGAAGAACCCACTCATGGCGATCAACTTTCTGCAGAAAGTAAATATCCTCCAGCACGCTCTGAATACTACTGTATATGTCTCATTGCCTTCACAGGAAATTGACACCCGTGCTTATGTCTACAATAAAGCTTACATCGTGCACGCTGCATCAAATGCTTGCTACAAGTTGCTGAAACCTACCTTGTCGTTCCCACAAGCCTCGCGATATCAAATATTAGGTGTGATACGAGACGGCCAGTATGTTATGGAGGATTTGCGGTAGGTTCTAACGTTTTACATTAGCCATGAATTTCGACCTGACATTGGTACCTGTCCTATACAGGATATCTACAAGGCCGCATGAACACATTGATGTTTGCCTGAAAGTTCTGCGGATCTTCACCGACGATGAGACGAAATCTAGGGGAGATATCAGAAAGGTTGCCTAGACAGCTCGGTTGTCACACCTGTCTAATGAAAGGCTTTTAGGACTTTTGCAGAGAAGCGTTAGTCTGGAGAAATTTGCAACACCCCAACGTGCTCTGTGTCATTGGTATCAACGAAGATCTATTCCATCCAAGTTTTTGCCTCATCTCTCCTTGGATGAAGAATGGCAATATCATTTCATTCTTATCGCAGCATCCGGAACACAATCGTATACAGTGTGTATGTTCTTATTTTCATTACTATTAATGCTTCGATGTTTAGAATGTCAATATGATGAACAGATAATTGAAGTAGCAAATGGGCTCGATTACCTTCACTCACATAAACCTCCGGTCATACATGCTGACATTCGTGGGGTAAGCGTCTCTCCTTGCACAGTATAATATCTGGCCTGACTCATTTTTGTGGAAGGCCAACATCCTTGTCAATGCGGACTTTCGCTGCTGCTTAGCAGACTTTGGCCTTGCGAAGGCTGTGATGACATGTGGGTTCGGAAGCTATGGAGATTCGAGAAAAGGATCTTCCAGATGGCTTGCACCTGAGCTTCTTCAGGTTGACGCTTCCTCCAATTGGCAGTATCAAACATTTAGAGATATATATGCCTTTGGATGTACTGTAATCGAGGTACGTCGACTTATCAAGTCCTGGGTCCTCCGTGCCTGATTACGTCTGTTAGATTTTCACTGGGCGAATTCCATTTTGGAATATTAAACAAGATATCGCCGTTATGCTTGCTGTATGGCAGAACGACCTTCGACCAGCTAGGCCCAGCTATGATGAGCTGCCGTATGATAGCGTATGGTCATTGGTCGAACTCTGTTGGTCGAGGGACGTTCATAGAAGACCATCTTCTTCAAGCCTGGTTGCCCAGCTCACTAACCTGGATCTTTCCCGGAGAATTTTCAGAAAGAAGAAATCAGTGTCGAAGTCGATAAAGACAATGGTTATCTCTCAACATAATATTCGAAGTAGGCTTCCCTCCATTCTTAAAGACTATTAGTCTCAATGAGGCACACTCAGATCATCAGAAGTTGGGCATTGGTCGACATTTTCGCTGTCAAATAGGCGGCTGCAACAGGTCCTTCTTATCCAGTTCCGTACGAAGGAAGCATAAGATAAAATGCAGGAAAGCTACACAGGAGACGGTGTCAGTACTGTAGAATGAGATGCTTATGTTTATATTCAAGCAATCGTACCAGAAGCTGGGCAGAAGGATTAGCATGTATTCATCCTGCACTGCAGCGGCAATGAAATGATGTTATCATTCGATGTTGACGTTTTCTTTGCCTGTAAAGGCGATTTCGACCTGACTAGGGCCTTCCTCGCCATCCTCGGTATAACCCTCGCTGACCTGCACTTCGTTCCATTCGTATGCATTCGGGTTGCCTATATCAGTCGTTCTTGAACAGTGAGCTGGACTATGTT